CAGATACATATTGTTGGAATTAGATAATTCTGGAAGTGATGTGTTTAGTGACACGTTCGGAAATCAAATACCGTTATCAATATTATATAATATGCAGATATGAATTTTTTATATACAGTACATGCTAGATAACTCATTACGTACGTACGTAGAATGTCTGAAGATAGCGATTCAACAGCAGTGTATACCGACTTAGCACCTATTATTAATGATGGAATAGAAATAGTTGAGACCATCGTTACCGCCAACCAATTCATTCCTTTATTGCGAGAAATATCAGAGTTTGCTAGTAGACTCTTAGAACTTTATCAAAATGCAAAATATAATAGAAGAATTTGTGGTGTGTTAATGGTCAGAATACAGTCAGCTCTTGCGTCAATAAACAGTTTAGAAATTTGTGCGAATGAATTTCCTGAATCTACGGATTTTTTTACTGCAAAAAAATAATACAATTTTACGAAATTTTAAACTTGTTATGAAAAGAATTGAAGAATTTATTAAAAAAATTCAAAACATTAATAATTTTAGATTATTTTTTCAATCAAATTCCATCAAACAAGAATTTGAAGAGCTTACTAATGATTTCGATGGTTATATGAGGTCATTAAATTTTACAATGATTATCGATATGAAACAACAATCAAAAAGAGACCTTGATTCGATAAATAAAGATACTAATGATGTGAAAGAGGTAAGCATAATGTTGTATACTATGAAATTTTTTTATATGTAATTAATATCTCAATCTTGTTTTAATATATATATATATATTATAGCATCTTCAAACTATTTTAGAAAGTATTAATTTTAGTAAAGAACAAATCAATCAAATCGCTAAAAATACCGAGATTAAATCAAATGATAGTGAATTATTACAAAAAATTAACATATCCGTACAAAATATTGAAAACTTTACGAGAATTAGAAATGCATTTGAAAGTCGAGATAAACAAGTACTTATCCGTGAAGAAATTAGTGCAAATGCATGTCTTAATCTTGATGATTTTACTGTTAATGAAGAAACTCCAATTCGTGGAAAAGTTCGAAAATGGCATTACAAACCTTTCGGAGAGTATGAAGTAGCTCTTAAAGAATTAGAGTTAAATAAACAAAAGCCTGAAAGGCTTGATCTCCAAATTGGTATTTTGAAAACTATTAATGAATCACGAGATATTATTCAGTATCTTGGTCTTGTTACAATGAATTCTAAGCAGTATCTCGTTACCGAATGGGCTGAATATGGAACCTTACGTGAATATTATGAAAAGAAAAATCCTGATATCACGGTTAGATCTAGACTTGCCATGGAAATTGCACGTGGATTAAATTATCTTGAAGCTTATAAAATATATCACCATGATGTTCGAAGTGAAAATATATTAATTGATTATCTTGAACGTGCAAAGATCACAAATTTCGAATTGAGTCGTGTGTTTAGTGAAGCTGTGAGTAAGAGTATTGATGTTAGCATGGATAACGTACGATATATGGCTCCTGAAAAAATTAAAGATCGTAAAAATGTACGATATAACTCAAAATGCGAGGTTTTCAGGTAATTATCAAACAATCTTGAGATGATTATTAAATATTATAAAACCTAATTTATAAAAATTTATATAATTAATAATATAGCTTCGGGATGCTTTTATGGGAACTTGCGGAACAAAAAGTTCCATTTGCTGATACTGGGCTTACAATACTCGCAATAAGTCAATTAATAGTAGACAACACAATGAATTTAAAATTTTCAAGTAAGGACGTACCAGAAAGATGGAAAGATCTTGTATATGATGGTAAATTAATTTTAATTCAAATATAATTCAGATACAATTCAGATACAATTCAGATATATTTCATAATCCCAACACAATGTTAATTTATATTCTTTTTAGCTACTTGTTTTAGACCCAGAGACCGTCCAGAAATGAAAGAAGTACTTAGAAAAATTAGGAAGATAAATGAATCGATTAATACAACCACTACCGATGAATCAAAATCATCAGGTGATTTATCATTAGAAGAAGCAATTGAACAGACAAAACTTAAAAGTGGATCTAAAGATAGAGCTTGGAAATCCATCGTTAAATATTCAGAATTAAATGATTTAACAGCAAAATATTGGAAAGGACATTATCTTTATCATAAAGTAATTAACTTTCAATACTCTGATGAGGAAAGAACCAAACTTGCTGTTAAATCATTTAAAGAAGCTGCAGATGGGGCGAATCTTAAGGAAGCCCAATATATGTATGCATCATGTATTTATAAGGAAGATCCGATCACAGCGATAGAATACTATGAAAAAGCTGCTGAGCAAAGTCATACAGCCGCGATGCATAATTTAGGTTTATTATATTATTATGGCAAAAAAATTGACGTAGACCAAGAAAAGGGTATATATTGGTTCAGGAGAGCTGCAGATGGAGATTTGGAAGCTTCTATTAACTTTTGTAAGAAAAATGGAATTACTCTTTAATTCTCTGAAGAGACTAATAAATAATAAGGTACAGTAAAATGAATTTTTGTTTTATAAAATACTTTTATAATCTGATGAATAAGTTTATAAAATTTTGATAATTATTATGCGTATAAACTAAGATTAATAACTTTTTTAATAGAATGAAATTAGTAGAAGACTTGATCAAGCAGTTAAAGATGCTTCAGTAGGCTTCTTGTAGATTTTATAGATTTATGAGTCGATTTGTTAATTTTATAGCGAATAAGAAAGTTATTGTAACTATTAGTAGATATTTGTTTATACAATGGTTTTGTTATTTAGCGTAGTAAAAGTTTATTTTTCTAAATTTAAGGATGATATCTAATAAATATTAAATCGAAAGTATCAAAAAAAAAATTTCTTATCTAAATTTTTTTTAATGAATTATAGAATTCGAATATTTATAATTTAGGTGGCCTTAATTTTAGAGATGAATTTGGAGAACGAGGTTGTTATCCTCAATTAAGGATGAGAAATCTCAACGCTTGCACTGTAGATTTCATATTTACTTCGAGGCGTTATGCATATACGCAAATTTTTGGTGTGCTGTATATGCAACTTCACCTGCATTCACATCTTCAAAGCCACAATGAATAAATAATAATCTAAACCATAAAGGCAATATTAACATGACTATGGCTAGACAAATATGGAATTAGATGTTTTAAAACACGAACTTAAAAATCATGTTTGTTTAATTTAAAAATCTATTAAAAAACGGTTTAATACATTATGATGTATAATATGATAACGAAATTCAAAAAAAAAAAAAATCTTGTTCGTGGAAGATTCAAAAGAAATCCGTTTACATAAACTTAGCAAAGGTTGCTGACATGATCGAACAATACACGCCAAAAATGTAATTATTGCGATGAAGGCTGTTTATTTAGTTGGCCCAATTAAAAGGGTCTTCATTAAAATGTAAAAACTTCCAAGAAATATATAATTCATTCACAAAAAACTTATTCAATGGGTTTGCATAGTAGAATGAAAGGTTGTACTGGCCGAAAAGAAAATTTTGCATTTAAAAACAATAGCTATCGATAGCTTTGTAAAAATTAAAACGATTGATTTTTTAATTTTATCTCAGACTTCGATGTTTTTAAAAAAAGGTTTAAACCAATAAAAAAACGTTAAAAAACTGTTTAAACCATTTTTTCCCATCCATATATGGAAGGTCAAAATGGTTCTCAAAAGAGAATTTCAACAAGCCTAAATCATAAAAATCAAATCACGGGACTAAATCCGGGGCATGGGGAAAATTATTCGTTACACCAAAAAATTTTTATTGTGATAATACTAGGGTGGTCCCTACTCAAATTGAAGATCATGACACAAATTACATTCTGCAGCTCAAAGTTCCACTCAACTTCCATCTTTGGTTAATAGAACTAAAAGCTGTATATAAAGGTACTGCACGTACATATGTACGTAATAGGATTATAGTAAGATCTTTTAAAATGATAGCACTACCAAACGAATGTCTTTCCGAAATTTTGAATAATCTCAAGAGTTATCGTAGAAGTTTATTTTCATGCCTTCTTGTAAACCGTCAATGGTGTAGAGTTGTTGTACCAATATTATGGAGCGACTTAAACATTTCAAAAAATCAAAACATTGTAAGAAGGTGTCTTTTGACGTTAAACTCTGAAGAACAAGTCCAATTAATACCATTTAAGATTACTCTTCCTAATGATTCAGATCCATTATTTAAATATACTGCTTACACAACGGTCTTCAATATTGATTCAGATGATGGAATCGGAAATTGGCTTAAAAATGACTTTAGTAATTCAAAATATTCTCAAATTATGTATGTAATTCAAGCAATTAAACATTCTTTAATTCTCATGATACTACGAACGAGTAAGAATCTTAAATGTTTAAGCATTTATGGCGAAAAAGTAAATTTATCAACAAAAATCTTTGATAAATGTTCAACTCTGGCTTCCTTAAAATTATCTTATAATGATCTTGATTTTGAGGAATTAAAAGCTCTGGCAACGGCTCTTTGTGAAAATTCTACTTTAAATAAATTACATATTTCAGGTAATAAACTAGGTTCTGAAGGTGTGAAAGCATTGACTGAAGTTCTTTACACAAATATTACTTTGACTCATCTGATTCTTTGGAACTGCCATCTCGGTCCTGAAGGTGTGAAAATATTAGCAAAAGCTCTCTATAAAAACTGCACGTTGATATTTTTAAATCTTGGTGAAAATAAACTTGGTCCTGAAGGTGGAAAAGCTATAGCAAATATTCTTTATGAAAATACTACCTTAATCTACTTATTTCTTTCACATAACCGTTTAGGTTCTGAAGGTGGAAAAGCATTAGCGGCTGCTCTTTGCGTAAATACTACTTTAACACATCTTACTCTTTGGTATAATCAACTTGGCTCTGAAGGCGGTAAAGCATTGGCTGAGGCACTTTATAAAAACGCTACGCTGAAACATTTAAACCTTTGGGATAATCGTCTTGATTCTAAAGTTGGAAAAGCCCTTGCAAAGGTACTTTATCAGAATAAAACTTTAACCTTCTTAAATCTTAGTGAAAATCAACTTGATTATGAGGTTGGAAAAGCATTAGCAGGTGCTCTTCATAAGAACACTACTTTGACTCATCTTGATTGCTGGGATAATCGACTTGGTTCAGAAGGAGGTAAAGCACTAGCTGAAGCTCTTTATAAGAACAATACCCTTACCTACTTAAATCTTAGTGAAAATCAACTTGGCCCTGAAGGTGGAAAGGCATTGGCTGAGGCGCTTTGTGAAAATAACTCTTTAACTTCTTTGTGTGTCAATAAAAACCAATTTGATTCCGAAGTGGGGAAAGCATTGTCAAATGCACTTTGTAGAAATACTACACTAACTTCTTTAACACTTCAACACAATCAACTTGGTACTGAAGGAGGAAAAATGTTGGCAGAAGCTCTTTGTAAGAACACTACTCTAACTTATTTAGATATTAGTAAAAACCAACTCGGTTCCGAAGGAGGAAATGCATTTGTAGAAGTTCTTTATGAAAACCACTCCTTAACCTCTCTTAGTCTTTGCAAAAATCAATTTGGTTTAGATGTAGGAAAAGCATTAGCAAAGGCTCTTTACAAGAATATTACTTTAACTTTCTTAGAGCTTCGTGATAATCAAATTGATGATGATACTTTAGATATAATTAGTAACTTGCTATTAAAATAATGTGATTATTAATTTGTTTTCAATATTATGTAATTAGTAACTTTCTTTTAAAACTTCAAAAACTTATTATTATTTTTTTTACATAATAAAATAAAATACATGCGGAGTATTCGTGTTTGAGTAAAAGTTATACAAATTAATCTAATTTAACATTTCAATAAATTATTATTATTATTTTTACATAATAAAATAAAATACATGCGGAGTATTCGTGTTTGAGTAAAGTTATACAAATTAATCTAATTAAACATTTCAATAAATTATTATTATTATTTTAAAGAGACATTTATGCGTGTTGCCGCATCTGCTGCAGGTCAAAAATCAGGTATAGCATGAAATCACGCCAAACAAAATATCCGTTTCTTTTCGTTAGGAAGGGAGAGCGGTAGCAATTTATCACGGCAACATATTTGAATATAAACGCTAGATTGGCTACTGCTTTTGTCACCTAGGTTGGCCTTCTAATAAAAAGAAATTGTATAATAAATAGTATTTCCACTAATTAGGGTTAGGGTGAAGTAAGGGTAGTGTATGGACTAAAAGAGAGGTTTTATAGTTAAATTTGTAAGAAATTTTTTTGTTAGAGCATGATGAGTAGTTTGATATATGAAGTTTTGTTGAGTTATAGATAATTTTTGACAAAATAACTATTTTTTATTTGTGTCATATTAAATCTTATCTTAACAATTCATTACCCCTTTTGACATCAATTTCGTACAAAAGAACATTTAATTTTATACAAAATGGCATTTAATTTCATACAAAGTGATATTCAATTTTGTACAAAGTGACATTCAAATTTGTACAAAATAACAACTAAAATAAGGTTTATCAAATCGTGATATTTCGTGATCTCGTAATCCATTTTAGATGATTTTGGTATTCGAATGTTACCAAAATCATTAAATTGGATTACTAATCGCAAGATATTGCGATTTAATCAACTTTATTTTAATTGTTATTTTGCACAGATTTGAAAGTTACTTGGTATAAATTTAAATGACTTTTTTCTATGAAATTGAATGTCACTTTGTATGAAATTGGATGTCATTTTGTATGAAATTAAATGCTTTTTGTACGAAATTGATGTCAAAGGTGGCAAAATTATAATTTATGTAGTTTAAAGTATTTTTTTAAAAAAACTTAGTTGCTTACCTTGTTTATACCAATCACATGATTATAAATTTTTACTATAAAGTTTAAGCAATTAATATCTATATAATTGTACTAATTTTTATAGTAAATTGTAATAATAGACTCCTTTCAAATAGTTTTTTTTTTTTAAAAAAAAAAGCATTTACAAGATAAAGTATAGTTTTATCAATCTATATATACATATTCTTATTTTTAAATTTAAAATAAAGTAAAAAGACTACTTTTAAAGATAGCATATTGTTTTAAATTTATATAAATTATATTGTTTAAAAGCTTTTTGGATATATAAACTATTAAATCTTTATTAAAGCTGTCTAAATTAGAACTTTAATATAATAATCAAAATATAAAACTAATTTTACAAATTGGGGTTGAAAATGAGTAAGAATTTTATTTGGTAGATATAAGGTTATAAATTAAAGAGATAGCTTCATAGATTACAGATATAGTAGCTAGTGTAGAATCTTTGAGTGAACTATTTAAATTAAACACCAAAAGCATATACAGTAAGTATCTGATCACAGGAACTTTTTAAAGAATTTAAAGAAATTTGAAATTTTCATAACCAAAGAATATCATAAAAACTGATTATCTATACCTTTTGTATATGATAAAATATTTGCATTG